AACCACCGCGGTCACCCCCGCGAAAGCCTCCACCACGTCCACCTCGGGAGTCGCCACGACCCCCTCGACCACGACCTGCCAGAAAAAATCAAAAAGGCAAATAACCAGATGGGCAAAGCCGCATTTTAGGGCACGGTTATACTCACAAGAATAAAAATCCACCACGCTATAGGATCGAATTTTTAAGGCGGTTTCTAGACCAAAACGGGGAAGAGGCCATTTTTTCGGAAAAAGGATGGTTCGTCTGAACTTTAGGTTTGCGCAGGAAGTTCTTATGCAGTAACAACTATACCGAGCAAGGTTGACGCATGTCGGCTAAGCGAACGCGAAGCAGTTCCTGTTGAAAGCCATAAAGAAATGAAGGTATACCTCTTCGATTGTTTTTAACTGATACGCTTAGTGACGTTTCGTGTGTTTGCATCGCAAGACTTGTCTGACGACTCTTTGGTTTTGGGATAAAATAATCAGGTTTCGAAAGCAAGTTCATTTCAAAGAAGCTGCAATCGCACCTTGAAGGCACCACAAGCAAACAGAAATGCGCAACGAAAATCAGAATCCAAATGTTCCAGCACAACATCAAAACAGACATCTGGCTTGCCCAAGCGTTTTATCGTCACGATATTACCGCACACCCGGTCGGGAAACTTAACTCTCCACGTGGCACTTGCGAGGGTCAAAATGAGTAAGAATGATCGAGAGCCGGGCTAGTGAACAAAACTGGTATAAAGGCATGTCGAAACCCGGAAAAATCCTAGGCTGTGTACAAAATATTTGCGGATAAGTGAAAAAGTAGATATGCGCAGTCAACTGCATATACCAGTGCGAATATCTTATAGATCTAGAAATTGGGAACTAGTGGCGACATCATAGGGGTAATATTTGCAATATCGCGTTCGCAAGAACAGAAAAGTAGGTAAACAAGTGATGCACAAACCTCTCGATTGAGTGCCGCCCGAAAGAAACCTTTCCAATGGGAGTAATTTGGCAGGATCAATGTAGAGCTAAAATTGTGATTCATGGAAGAAAGGGCAAACCTTAAGGCCTGCTTTAAAAGATTTGCTCTTCAGGTTGTCCGACAGTTTGACAGAAAAGAGCTACCAAGAACATAAAATCAATAGTAACACCTACTGAATTCTTTATCGGTCCAAATATCTCATCGACTTTGCCTATTTGTTCCTTGTTTTCGAGGTACATCGGCGCATTGAAATAGGGGATTTTCTCATTAGTCAGAGTGCAAACGAGGTCTTCTTGACAAGTGTGCATCATTTCACCAACTTCAACAACTTGCTCTGGAGGACCCTGATCAAATCGATCATGTCCACCACGACCACCCCTAAAGCCCCCTCGACCACGAAAACCTCCACGACTGTCGCCACCTGGAGCACCTCTGAAACCCATCTCGATTATTTGGTGGCGCGTGTTAAAACCGAAGGAGGCGCCACAACACCAGGTAAGGTCACATTGACGAGGTCAGGAATATGGAGATTCCGGATTATCACAGGCCTTATGAGGAAATGCGCGTAGATAATGTCAAATGCGTAAAGAAGAATATGGGGACTGTGTAAAGCAAAATAAGGATAAATCGTCAAGTCAAGTATTCGTAAAGTATGTTCCAATTAATTATTCGTGTTTCATCGGGTTTCCGTGCTTAGTCTGTTTTTTTACCTTTAATGCTTTGTAGAAACTGTTTTCTGAATACTATTTATACATTTCTATATCCACGAACTCAACTTTTTTTCTTATACAATTCTACACTTCTAGGTCTGCTTAGAACATTATATTGACTGTAATTATGCAATATTTACTTTGCATTAATAATGTCATTAATTAATGCCCTCAAGGGAATTTCCTGCTTATAACTCTTCAAATATACATAGAAAATGCGCTGTCATGGCTTAGCAAGGAGGGCACGAACTAGTAGGAGTTGATTCTAGGACCAGCTTTTGTAAATAAATTGAAGTGGTTATGCAATTAAACGTGGTAAATGTAACAAATTTCTTATGGCACAATTATTACGGAGTATTCCGCGAACCAACTGATGATGAAATACTTAATTGCTCTTTGGAATTATTTGTGTGGGCTATTTCATTTTGAGCTATTTCAGTGTAGTTTTGAGATAAGAGATAGCCATTAGAACCTTCTTTTATATGCGTTCTATATAGCTTTGCATTGATTTTAACTATTTTGTCGTCACGTAAGCGATATTAACGTCCTTCGGGAAGTGTGGGGTGACTTGTTAGAACTTCTACGTGACGTCCGTGGTAGGTCGAACTAACTGACCCCCGGAGGTGGTGGCTACGCCTGGCGTCCTTTATTGTCCCCCTAACTTCTACATACGGGTCCTCGGAGCTAGGGTCTGCCTAGCGTCCCCCATCCGGTAACCACCTGGACTGGCGGACCAAATCAGGTGACGGTCTCTAGTGTGTTTGTCTTCCGCTACATCCGGTATACCCAGGGTTGAAGTAGTTATCGTATTAGTATTAGGAGTAGTAGCAGAAGTGGTAGTAAGATCGATCACAGTATTCTTAGTGCTACCAATAATCGTGACTGTAGTATTAGTAGTAGTAGTAGTAATGGTTATATAGGCTACTGTAATGCTGTTAGTAGTCGTAGTATTAAAATTAGTGGTAGCGTCACTAACAGTGGAAGTGGAATTACTGCTACTACATTTACTGCACTTCACCTGATACCTACTAATAATTATATGGTACATTCTACACCTACTAATATATGACCCGCTACTACTACACCTAATAATATCATAATACCTGCTACTAGAACCTCCAACACTTCTATTATATCTTTTGGAAATCCAATAGCATACTCAACTACCGCTCTTCCTCTCCGCAATCTTTTCTGCCCACTTCTCCTTGTCCAACTCCCGTTCTCCATCTTCCCCTCCCCTCTGCCCACGCCCAGATTTTCCCCTGCTTTCTTCTCTCACCTTCCCTCCTCTTCCGTCTCTCCTTTTACCTTTGTTCCCTTCCTTCCTGCCTCCAGTCTCTTGTCTGCATCCTCCCCCACTCTACTCTCCCCGACATGGTTGAAAAGTTCTACCATAAACGTGACATGCAATCACGTAAACGGTCCAGGACATAGGGTCGTTCTCTCAGTAACCCATGTATTTTACCCGTACTGGAGTTTGGCAGCCATTTAGGATGATTAAACAGCCCTATTTATGGTCAGCACTGCTAACCTCTTGGCAGGGATGTGGCTTGACTAAGTTTCCTAAACAAATACTAGATTCACACTTTCTGCCAACGGAATGTGGTTTATACATTGCTATAATTGCGGTCAAAACACACACACAGAAACAACAACTGTTCCCGTCCAGATCCTCTGCCATTCCACATGATACTCTACGACACTAGGATGAACCCGCTCTCAGATGGAGCTTGAAATTTCCGTTCCTTTTCAGGAAATAAGAGGAGTAGCCGACCAGAGCGGAGAGCAGTGCTAACCCTCTGGCAACTGGCTCGCTTCAAGGTCGAAATAGTTGCACGCAGTTAAACATGCTTCTCTGACCAAAACCAACTGGAGGACGTAGGTGCTGGTTACACCTTCTGGAGTGGCTGTCCACAGGCGGAGAAACACGACGCCGACGTCACCTTTGCCGTTCGGACCGACAAATGGGACATCTGCCCTATCTGCCGCAGGAAACCAGTAGTAACCTGATGAACCTTTGCCTGCCTCATTGGGTGGCAAATTCGCCAGCACTCTTAACGCCTACACCCCGATTACCAGCTCCAAAGAGACAGCAAATATTATACAACGATCTGCATGTACTCCTGGTAACGGTGTCAAAGGCGGACAAGTTGATGACCCTTGGTGACTTCGAAAATTGTGTCAGCACAGACTACACTACACAGAGTAAGGCTGATTTCTTTCGGTCTAGAAGACTTCAGTGACAATGGCCTGTTCATCCTGCGAAATTGCACCCTGCAGCGCATCATCCTGATCAGCACCTGTTTTAGCAAGTGCCAGTGCGATTTCCCCTGTCATCGCGGCACTAGCGACATGATCTTTACCTAACGTCAGTTGCAGACGAGCCAGGAGATGCGAGCCTACCTCTTCACGACTTTCGAGAACCTAACGAAATACTTTGACACAGTGAATCGCGACGGGATTTGGAAAGTCATATATATTTATTTATTTT